TTATGATGGACTTGTAGATCTGTCCCTTAAGCCTAAGAGGCATTCTTGGATCACAAGTCACACCAGTAACCTGTCGCCATTTCATCCAACCCGCATTTATTCGGCTTTTTACGTCTCGGTCAACGCCACCGTCGGACTGGACTAGAGAACCGAGGTACTTAATGTATAACATAATGTAATAAGTAAATAATCAATTAATCGGTAAAGTAATATGTAAGTAAATAAAAATTAACAAACAATATTAAATTACAAAACCGAAGTATTTTAAATCAGATAGGTAATTCAATCAGTTCACATAGACTAGACTTCAGGCTCCCACTCGTCAAGCGGGATGTCAAATTACTCTCACTTGAGGTGTGTCTTCTTTGAGGTCGTGATGCTTCTGCGGGGGACTTCTACTGTAGATTTCTGTTGAAGAAGTACACACTTATAATCCTCTTTATCGAAACAATATAAGATTTCTATAATGCTAACTTAATGCGTGATTTAGTAGAAAATGTTACTTGATACGACGTCTCAGTAACACTCATTTGAAAACAGCTAAGCTTGCACTGCTTGTTAAATGAAATATTGCATAGTGCGACCTCCATTGCATATAGTTCGTTCGACATTCTTTGTCCCGGTGTGTCGATGTGTCGGCGCTGGCCCTGCACCGCGCCGCTGCATCGTCACTGTCACTGTCACGTCCACATTCACCGCATACTGCACGCTGCTCGGTCACTTCACATTTCTCACACTGATCTTTGATCTTGATGTCGCATCCATTAACATTCAACTAATGAAGGACGCACACGTTGATGCGTATTGCTTCCGATTTGCTTTCAACGTATGGAAAATATAAATCATGGACGACGCCAGACAACGATCTCGGGACAGTGATGAACAGAACATCAAGACAGCCTAGTAATTAGAATACTTTTACAATCCAAATAATCCAAAAATTAACGTATGGTTCAATTATTGAATTAAATAAGGTAACATCATAAACCATAAAGGTAACTTGAACTTAAACTTGAAGTCTACTGCTAAGGAATTACGACGATTAAAACAATAACTAATAAAGAATATTAAACTTTATTCATTATTATTACTAAATATTAACAATAAATCAGTTTAAAAAATGAAAGAACAAAATTAAGTAGCCTGTCTGTTCATCCAGACTCTCCTCTACATTGTTGCAAATTTTAATCGAGATCAGTTGAGCAGTTTGTCTACAAACTCTAACATCCTTCCATCTAAGCTGTCACATTTTTAATATTAAGATTACAATTTTCGACTCTCCAGCTCCCCCTGCTCTCCCTTAGCGAAGCCTATGGTATAAGAAGTTGTAAATCAAATCGCCAATCAACTAATCGTGGCAACCAACTTGAAATCGAACTCTAATGTTATACATTTTTCAAATTTCCTACTATTAGGTATACTTAAATTTCTCGTTTGTGTGTGTGTTTAAATAGAGTACACGTCCCCAGTAAAAACCTAATGAAAACTCATCCGTCAGTTTTTGGTATTTTCACAAAATAACCGTTAAAACGTAAAAGTTGCAACCTGCCCTGTAACAAAGGTGCTGGGGTGTGCGCGAACACTCACCCCGGGGTGCCGCTCGCCCGGCCCGGGTGGGTGCACTCAACCCCTCTCGCTACAAGTATTCGCCGCTTTGTCAAGTCATTTGTGCTTAATGTTCCAAGGAATACAAAATTAAGACGTAACAATTTACAAAAGGGAAGCTTATCTGAGTATAAAATATATATTGTTATGTACTCATGTTTGTTACTCTTCACCTGTACCTATGTGTAATTATCTTTGTGTCACCTTCAGCTTTGTTACTTAATACAAATAAGTTTTACTGAAAATAACTTAGTTATTAGTACGTATGAAGCTGTAGAGTGAACCTCTTTATTTAAATTTAATTAAACTAAGGAAGTCGTATTTAATCCTTTCTCCTATGAAACTAATAAAAAAAAAACAAAAACTGGAGTCAAAAAATGTCTGCGTCCGCAGCAAGATTTCCACGGCATCCCCATCTCTGCCATGACTTTGGGGTGCTTATCAGGTTTAAGTAAGAGTGTGTAACTTGTAGACTGGTGCCCTGTTACGAGGCAGTACCTCGCACCTCGCACCTCGCAGTTCGCTCCTCGCTATTACATATTCGTACTCGGAATGTAAAGAGCGCGCTCCGCTCCCCGTAAGGCATCAATCGCCATCGCGCACGCCGCGCCGGGATTAACTAATGACTTTAAATTCTTCAGCAGAATGCTAAGTAATAAACATAAAATAGTCGTTTAGCCGAGTTGCGCCTAGGTCGACGTCGATGCGTATCGGAAAATTTTATTGGACGAGTTTTCAAATAGTTTTCCCGATGGAATTAGAACGACATCATTATGGCTGCGGCCGTCCAATTATGTTAAAAATGTTTGGTTATGTATGCAGCATTGGTATTGCGGAAACGAATCGCTAAGTGAACGTGTGCGAAGACTTCCTCGTGACCTCCGACTGCGTGAGCGAGGTTCATCCAATGCAGATTATGTTGAGTGCAAAATGCAACCTCTTTGGCTGACAAGCAGTATGAATACAGCCAAAGAGGTTGCATACTGGCCACCGAGGCAATAATCGTTTGTAAAAGAAAATATATAAAAGAAGAAGTCAAGATGTAATCAAGAGAGTTTTAAGTTTTGTATATTTTTTGTGTAAATAAGTTTTAAATAAAGATATGTTTGTTTTATAATAAGTGTTTTGTATTTTTGGCTGCCGCGCTGTCGGTAACAAGTTAAACAGATTACACGACTCTCCTAACAATACCGAACAACCCTGATACGGAGGAGCAGATGTAAAAATGCTTATAGTAGTTTATAGAGATTTAGAGCCACCTCACACTATGGGATTTTTATCAGTCGATAGTTTAGTGAAGCGCGATAACGACCCGATCAAACTATCGGACGATAAAAGTCTTATCTGTAGTCTGCGGGGAACATAGTCAAACAGAATACTTAACGATTACATTGGAATATATTGTATCATACAACAGTACTCTTCAAATTAAGTATGCATTGCTCTGGACTTACTGGAAAATAATACATAAAACTAGAAAATATAATTTACAAGTTAAGCGTGTTCATAAGATCTTAACTCTGACATAACTAATGTATCTAATACTAGCTGTTCCCGTGCGATTTCATCCGCATAAAATTATTCTATTGTTAACATGTGTCAAATTGTCAATTGCAAATGTCAAAATGACATGACAAAACTTGGCAATCATGTTTTCTTGATGTTGGCAGCAACTTATGGTCTCTTTCCCACATTAGGGTTTTTATCTAAAACATTTACCCCTAAGTTTAATGACGTGAAAATGTATAGCCTTAAGCGTGACGTAAGTGTAGGACTTTTTATTAAAAAAAGAATTATTCAAAAATATGCTGTAATTGCTGACATCTTAGGCAACAAAGAAGTGTGTCTTTATTATAATAGTATACCTACATGAATAACTATTGTGTTCGTCACTTACTCTGTCTTTTAGAAATAGGTAAAAGGTCGGCAAATCCCTTATTCTTGTTTTTTTTACCATCTTATACCATTAAAATTTAAACAGATAGTGCGTTTTTTAAGTCGGGTTCCATTGCCGCTAAATAAAGCTTTAAGCGACATCTACAAACAAATATAAAGAGTAAATGTAACTAGTATTTGTAAAGTTATGGTTGTTAAATTCTTAAAAGTTGTTTTTTTTTTAGGTTTAATTAACATCTTGTTAATTACAATGGTTTGTGAATTCCTAACTATCGATACTTTACTCGCTTCGATTTGAGCACGATTTTGTTACAAAAAAAAATCGAGGTAATAAGTACTACTTGCAACAGGAGTGTGTTCTATCTGTACATCTTGCAGTTAAAATAAAGAAAATAAAACCTTATGAAGAGTCTTGTTGCACGCAAAACTAAATTGAAACGAGTAAGAGGGCTACAAGTGTCCCATATTTCCCTTTCTAAGAGTGACTTAGTGTTGCCAGATGTCAATCCTTTTGTTGTTTATAGAAAAATAGGCAATTGATGTAATCTAATGCAGTAAAAAAGCTTACTTTCAAACTGTTTTTAAATATTAATAAAAAAATATTACCGACATGCTAAAGCAATAGTATTTGTTGCTACATGTGTACTTTACTAACACATAAAATATGCGATTGGCGCACAAGTCTTCTTTCATTTGTTTCATATTCGGACACCTGATCTGACAACCCCATATGACATCCCGATTCGGACATTAATGGGGGAGGCTTTTTGATTTTGTGATATTATTGAAGAATTTTAGTTGAAATAGGAAGAATTTGTTCTTTATTAAAACTATTAAAACATTTCTCTATTAAAACAACTTTGTTTAATTTTAGATTTAAGATTTTAGGAATGAACTAGGTTTGCTTCAAAAACTTCACAAGACTTTTATTTAGCACCATCTCAAGCATTAATCAGCTGACGTCAGACAACAAAAACACGATTTTCATAATTTTAACATAGTCACCTTCGCCAGAGAGTGATGAAACGGACAGTTATTGAGGTCTTGCTCGGCTTCAATTTTTCGAGTATTACATCCATGGTTACAAATTAATTAAAGCGCCATCTAGTGAACCGACGGACAGTTAATATTTTATAAAAATTGTTATGCTTACATAGCCAATTATTTTAAAATTAAATTAAAAAATAATGGTGAACAATTTTTTACACTTAATTATAAATTTTTATAATTTATGGATAAATGAAATGTTACAATTTGTTTTATAAAATGGCAATGCCAATTAGACGGCAGGAGGGCAAGACCAAAGAATTTGTAAAACTTGACTTTGACAGTAATGACAATAAACATCGGTGCTGTTTCTGTCGGCTGATAATATTTTGTAAAGCAATTTGCATTGTTATGAAAATGTTCTGTGATATAACTAAAAGTAATCAATCAAGTTAGTCAAAATGGGAACTTTAAACATAGCAGAGTGGTCACCGGATCAGGTGACGGATTGGCTGTCCGGTATGTAAAATGAATAGTGTTTTTGATGGAGTTGGTTTTGCTTGGTGAGTCACATAGCGTGTGCGTTGTCGTAGGGCTGGGGCCCACTGTGGAGGTCTACGTGCCGGCGCTTCGCCAGCGCGGCCTGGACGGCGCGAAGCTGCTCACTCTGCGATGTGATGACCTCGAATATCTCGGGATTCATATAATTGGCCACCAGGAGCTCCTGCTGGAAGCAGTCGAACATTTGCGGAACTTTGTATGTAACTTTTGACGCACTTGAATTCGTACGGAATATACATTATTAGCTGTTCAT